CAGAACTAAAAACATACAAGTGTGGGAACAATACATACATAGTTGTCTGTATAGTCAGTGAATCTTTTCCAAGGAACTATCTGGATTTACAAAAGCATTTGATGCACACAAAGTGGATTTATATGATTTTTCAGCTATTGCAGAATATATTTCATTTTTTCAATTAAAAATTTTGTGCCTGGAGTCCAGCTTTAAAATAATAACATATGATCATATTTGTGTTTAGGTACAGTATAATGCCTGTTGCATCCTCTGTAAGAGATTTGGCACAGGCCTTGGAACATATCTCTTGTTTACACTAACAACATTTAAAAAGTATCAGCTTTGCTACCAATAATATGAAAAAGAAGCCACCACCTAAGTCTTCTATGTAAGCAGTTTGGCTAAGGGTACTCTGGAAATTAGCCTAAATCCAAGATGAAAATTTAGAATGCTACTCAAGGTATATGAACATCCCATAACGGTGTTTAGCAATGACTGATATAGCACCTTTAAAGCTGAAATTTAGTAAACATATATATTTTTTTAAAACAGCATCAGGAACATTACTTACCATGAATGAAAAGTGTCCGTTGTGCTGGTGGCTGCTGTGTTCGGTTGATATTTTGCAGTCCTCTGCCCCTGGAGCCCTGATCTTATGGTGCTGTGGGGGTTATTATGAGTGACAGGCACTTATCACGTGCCAACTTTGCCTGCCCTTTCCACCCCTATGCTTCATTCCTACCAGTTTTGAGACTGGTACACACAAAAACAGCCCCCATATAACCTCACCTTCACTGTCTTTCCTCATTTTTTTTACAAGAGTCCTATGACGTTGGTTGCCTTTTTCTCAGCCCTGCTGAGAAAAAAAATGTTTTACTTTATATTTACATATTTCATTTTTTTAAATGTTATTATTTTTTTGTACTTGAAATATTATGTACTGTAGATAGCTTTTCTTCAGTGACCAGCTAAAACTTCAAGAAGTGCTGTTTGAACTAGTTTTTATACAACCACTATCTGGATTGGTGTACCCTCAGCAACAGCTTTGAGGGTGTAGCCAAACCCTTTTGGACCAAATATTGAGGGGCTCGCTTAGAATGTAATCTTCAGGCACTGGGTTATGCATTTAGTGCACTTTCTAGACCATTGTGTACTGTGTTAGTTAGCCACAAAACACTCTGCAGGTATAGAACTGTGGCACAGCCTGTGATGTTACCCAGTCTTTTAAGATACCTTTAAAAGTAATGCCATTTGGGTTGAACCAGATTGGCATTGGAAGCCATATTCAAATTCACTGTAGGATTTAAGTGTTTTCCTGGATGTTTCCTTCAGACACTGAATACTGCTTTATTACATTTCCAAGTCACTTGTGCACCATGCTGGTTAGCTGCAGAGCATTCTCCAGGTCCAAAGCCATGTAGCAGTCTCTAGTGTGATCGAGGCCCTGAGAACTTGAATATTAGGTATAGAAAGCCAGGCTGTAGGAATGTAAATTGTTTTACAGTTGATACCATTCCTATGACTGCCATATTACAGTGATGACAGTGAAGGCTGAGAGAACTGAGTGCTGACATCATCTGAAAGGTGGAGTGTTATGTGTGCATGCTCTGAATTCCTATTCCTGACATTCAGCCTAGAGGAAGAATCTTTCCACTATTGCTCCTACCTCTGAAGGGCTTTGTGGATCATCCTGTCTCTGGTTCCATTCCTCTACATGCCTACAGTGACTTTGTCACCTCCGGCTACCTGTGCCACTTATTAGCACCCACTAACTGGGTTTGTGAGTACACTAGCCTTTGCCTCACCTTGGAACTAGTTATTTTTGACTAGGCAGTGCAACAGGTCTTCTAAAAAAACACACACAGGGGACAGGTCCCACTGGAATGGGTCACATGAGCCCATATTATTCCATTGTTGATAAGAGCCATTTCTCAATATCCCCAGCAGGGACCCTTTTACTATAGGGTCATCTATACTGGGCCACAGCTTTCCTATAGCCAAGCCACAGTTTTTGGTCTGCTGTAACATCTACCGCTGTCACACTGAGCTCTGACATGCTCATTTTCTGTCCCCCAGCAGCCAGCAGATATAGTTAGACTAGAGTCAGTTTAGCTGTGCATACACAGTGTCCAGCAGGGACTACAGCCATCTTACAGTGGTGACAGTTGAGGATGAGGGAACTGAGTGCTGACGTCATCTGCTGAGTGGAGCGTTCTGTTTGTCTAGAGGGAACATCTTCCCACTGCTACTCTAAAGTGCTTTGTGGATTATTTGGTCACCAATGTGTTCCACTGCCCGCTGAAGTCATCTGCAAGGTGGAGCATTTATGTGTGCATCATCTGCAATTTCTATTCCTGATGTTCAGTATAGAAGAAGCACCTTCTCACTGCTGCTTCTGTCTCTGAAGTGCTTTGTGAATCATTCTGTCACCAGTTCCTTTCCAATACATGCCTACAGTGTTTTTGTCACTTCCAGCTGCCTGCACCCCTTATCAGCACCAACTGAATGGGTTTGTGTATACACTAGCCTTTACTTAACCTTGGGCCTAGTTGTTTTCACTAAAAGACACAGCATGTCTTCTCAAAGACACATAGAGAATAGTCCCACTGCAATGGGTGACCTTAGCCCATACTCCCCCATTATCAAAAACAAAAAAAGCTCTTGTCTCCAATATATGTGCCCTCACAAATTCGATAGGACGTGAACAATAAAATAGGATAATTAATATATACCATAATCTTTAAATAATGCAGAACACATGCATAAACATTGTACGTATCAACTACTCGTGAGTAAACCAAATAAATCAGTGAAATAAAAAATAATTCATATAATTACATAAAATAAATAAGTGAAGTGTCCATTGATATAATTACTTAAAGTAAATAAGTGAAGTATCCATTGAATAGATAATCAGTGCAGTGATGTACTGATAGAGAACGTCTTTTCGATGTGCCCATGAAACACATGCAATACAGGTGATCCGATAATCCTTCACAATGTGTACTGATGTTGGCAACTTACCAAATGTCCATCATGAGCAGCATGTTCAATATCCACATAACATCATCATATTGAAGGGAAATGGAAAAAACAGCAGAGACTCTTGCAATCTTCTGATGATACAAAGAAGAATATCAACCCCATATATACTCAAAAAAGAAGAGAAAAGATCACTCCCATAGTGTGATATGTTTAATGGAATCAATATAAGTACATAAAAGTATTGCACTTACATGGTATTGTGCCCTCCAGACACCTAAATAAGACACAGATTGAATCTCAGACTCTACGCCTCGCCGTTCGCTGTATTACAGCCAGTGTGAATTCCAAGAGTCAAAATCAATCACCGGCAGTGACATGTAGAAGGGACCAGAAATGACGACCATGTCCAGGCCTCAATGCATTTCATGGAATCACGTCACCAGGAACCACAATCCTGAGCTGTCAGGACTCCCTCAGCTGGTCCAGCTGTCCAGGGATCTGAAATCCCTGCTGTTCTCCCTCTTCTCTGTCAACATTTCCAGGAGCAGATGGGTTTTGATTAGTAAGCACTGCCCATGTGATGGTGCTGACAAATCAAAATGTGTCTAAAATGTATCTCCTGCTTTTAACTGACTTCCCTTGCAGATGCTCCCCCTTCTGCATTTAACAGCAATTACCAGCTATCAAAATAAGAGCCAATAATTGCTTTGTTTTATAAAGCAGTAGTGACTTTTAAAATGCAGCTTTTCCTGTATAAAATACAGTAGATTACTGCAGTAGTCTGCAAGTGGTATTGGGTAATACAGTGTAACAAGATTGTTATATTGTTGTTACTATTTCATTCAAGTGTAGACCTCAGATTCATATGTGTGACCTTTGACCTGTAAATGAAAGCAATGAAATACCGTATTTTTCGCTCCCTAAAGACGGACTTTTCCCCCCCCCCAAAAAGGGGGGAAAATGTCAGTGCGTCTTATGGAGCGAATATGGAGCGGCCGGTCTGCTATTTCCACCCCCGCCGTGTCAGAATACCGTGTCGGCCGCTCAGCTCTGCAGCAGGACCTTACCTGTTCCTTGGTCCAGTGCTGCACAGTCTTCCCGCGCTGGCTTCTTTAGTGTAGGATATCGGCTTGACAGCCGGGTGCCCAGTGCGCATGTGTAAGAAGCGCTGCACTTTGTGAATGGTACGGCGTCTTCTGGGACACATGACAGGTCCCAGAAGGTGTCGGACCAATCACAAAGTGCAATGCTTCTCGCGCATGCGCACTGGGCACCCGGCTGTCAGCCGGGTGCCCACATTAAAGGGAGGACAACTCCACGGAAGTGGGAGCGGGTACCTGTCAAATTCAGGTACCCGCTCCCCCTCTATCCCCAAAGGTCAGCAGTCTCTTAGTCATCTAGTGTACTGTCCGCAGTCTCTGGTCATCTCCTGTACTATGTCCGCAGTCTCTGGTCATCTCCTGTACTATGTCCGCAGTCTCTGGTCATCTCATGTACTATGTCCGCAGTCTCTGGTCATTTCCTGTACTGTGTCTGCAGTCTCTGGTCATCTCCTGTACTATGTCCGCAGTCTCTGGTCATCTCCTGTACTGTCTGCAGTCTCTGGTCATCTACTGTACTGTCCGCAGTCTCTGGTCATCTCCTGTAGTACGTCCGCAGTCTCTGGTCATCTCCTGTACTATGTCTGCAGTCTCTGGTCATCTCCTGTACTATGTCTGCAGTCTTTGGTCATCCCTGTACTGTCTGCAGTCTCTGGTCATCTCCTGTACTGTCCGCAGTCTCTGATCATCTCCTGTACTGTCCGCAGTCTCTGATCATCTCCTGTACTATGTCCGCAGTTTCTGGTCATCCCCTGTACTGTCTGCAGTCTCTGGTCATCTCCTGTACTATGTCCGCAGTCTCTGGTCATCTCCTGTACTATGTCCGCAGTCTCTGGTCATCCCCTGCACTGTCCGCAGTCTCTGGTCATCTCCTGTACTGTGTCCGCAGTCTCTGGTCATCTCCTGTACTATGTCCGCAGTCTCTGGTCATTTCCTGTACTGTGTCCGCAGTCTCTGGTCATCTCCTGTACTATGTCCGCAGTCTCTGGTCATCTCCTGTACTGTCTGCAGTCTCTGGTCATCTACTGTACTGTCCGCAGTCTCTGGTCATCTCCTGCACTGTCCGCAGTCTCTGGTCATCTCCTGTAGTACGTCCGCAGTCTCTGGTCATCTCCTGTACTATGTCTGCAGTCTCTGGTCATCTCCTGTACTATTTCTGCAGTCTCTGGTCATTTCCTGTACTACAGTGAGGAACAGAAGTATTTGAACACCCTGCGATTTTGCAAGTTCTCCCACTTAGAAATCATGGAGGGGTCTGAAATTCACATTGTAGGTACATTCCCACTCTGAGAGACAGAATTAAAAAAAAAAATTCAGGAAATCACATTGTATGATTTTTAAAGAATTTATTTGTCTTGCACTGTTGAACATAAGTATTTGAACACCTGAGAAAATCAGTGTTAATATTTGGTAGAGAAGACTTTGTTTGCAATTTCAGAGGTCAAACGTTTCCCGTAGTTCTTGACCAGGTTTGCACACACTGCAACAGGGATTTTGGCCCACTCCTCCACACAGATCTCCACTAGATCTGTCAGGTTTCGGGGCTGTCGCTGAGCAACATGGAGTTTCAGCTCCCTCCAAAGATGTTCTATTGGATTTAGGTCAGGAGACTGTCTAGGCCACTCCAGAACCTTGATATGCTTCTTACGGAGCCACTCCTTGGTTATCCTGGCTGTGTGCTTTGGGTCGTTGTCATGTTGGAAGACCCAGCCACGACCCATCTTCCGTGCTCTGACTGAGGGAAGGAGGTTGTTGCTCAAAATCTCACAATAAATGGCCCCATTCATCCTCTCCTTAATACAGTGCAGTCGTTCTGTCCCCTTCGCAGAAAAGCACCCCCCCCCAAAGCATGATGTTACCACCCCCCATGCTTCACAGTAGGGATGGTGTTCTTGGGATGCAACTCATCCTTCTTTTTCCTCCAAACACAATGAGTGAAGTTTAGACCAAAAAGTTCTACTTTGGTCTCATCTGACCACATGACTTTCTCCCATGCTTCCTCTGGATCACCCAGATGGTCATTGGCAAGCTTCAGACGGGCCTGGACATGTGATGACTTGAGCAGGGGAACCTTCTGTGCAATGCATGATTTGAAACCATGACGGCGTAGTGTTCTACCGACAGTGACCTTTGCAACTGTGGTCCCAGCTCTCTTCATGTCATTGACCAGCTCCTCCCTTGTATTTCTGGGCTGATTCCTCACCTTTCTTATCATCAGTGATACCCCACAAGGTGAGATCTTGCATTTAGCCCCAGTCCGAGGGAGACTGACAGTCGTCTTTAGCCTCTTCCATTTTCTAACAATTGCTCCAACAGTTGATCTATTTCACCAAGCTGCTTGGCAATATCCCGTAGCCCTTTCCAGCCTTGTGGAGGTCCACAATTTTGTCCCTGGTGTCTTTTGACAGCTCTTTGGTCTTGCCCATGGTAGTAGTTGGCACCTGACTGACTGTGGGGTGGACAGGTGTCTTTAAAGAGCTCAGACAGGTGCTTTTAAGTTAGATTAATGAGTGGAGTAGAGGTGGACTTTTTAAAGGCACAGTAACAGGTCTTTGAGAGCCAGAATTCTTTCTTTTTCTTAGGTGTTCAAATACTTATGTTCAGTAGTGCAAGACAAATAAATTCTTTAAAAATCATACAATGTCATTTCCTGAATTTTGTTTTTTAATTCTGTCTCTCAGAGTGGGAATGTACCTACAATGTGAATTTCAGACCCCTCCATGATTTCTAAGTGGGAGAACTTGCAAAATCGCAGAGTGTTCAAATACTCCTGTTCCTCACTGTATGTCTGCAGTCTTTGGTCATCCGTGTACTGTCTGCAGTCTCTGGTCATCTCCTGTACTGTCCGCAGTCTCTGATCATCTCCTGTACTATGTCCGCAGTCTCTGGTCATCCCCTGTACTGTGTGCAGTCTCTGGTCATCTCCTGTACTATGTCCGCAGTCTCTGGTCATCTCCTGTACTATGTCCGCAGTCTCTGGTCATCCCCTGCACTGTCCGCAGTCTCTGGTCATCTCCTGTAGTACGTCCGCAGTCTCTGGTCATCTCCTGTACTATGTCCGCAGTCTCTGGTCATCTCCTGTACTATGTCCGCAGTCTCTGGTCATCTCCTGCACTGTCCGCAGTCTCTGGTCATCTCCTGTAGTACATCCGCAGTCTCTGGTCATCTCCTGTACTATGTCTGCAGTCTCTGGTCATCTCCTGTACTATGTCTGCAGTCTCTGGTCATCCCTGTACTGTCTGCAGTCTCTTGTCATCTCCTGTACTGTCCGCAGTCTCTGATCATCTCCTGTACTGTCCGCAGTCTCTGGTCATCTCCTGTACTATGTCCGCAGTCTCTGGTCATCCCCTGCACTGTCTGCAGTCTCTGGTCATCTCCTGTACTGTGTCGGCAGTCTCTGGTCATCTCCTGTACTATGTTCGCAGTCTCTGGTCATCTCTTGTACTATGCGCGCATGTCTGCAGTCTCTGGTCATTTCCTGTACTGTGTCCGCAGTCTCTGGTCATCTCCTGTACTGTGTCCGCAGTCTCTGGTCATCTCCTGTACTATGTCCGCAGTCTCTGGTCATCTCTTGTACTGTATCTGCAGTCTCTGGTCATCTCCTGTACTGTGTCTGCAGTCTCTGGTCATCTCCTGTACTATGTCCGCAGTCTCTAGTCATCTCCTGTACTGTGTCCGCAGTCTCTGGTCATCCCCTGTACTGTGTCTGCAGTCTCTGGTCATCTCCTGTACTGTGTCTGCAGTCTCTGGTCATCTCCTGTACTATGTCTGCAGTCCATTGGTTCAGAATATTTTTTTTCTTGTTTTCTGCCTCTAAAACTTTTCAGCTCCAGCTCAGTGGATTGCTTCAAAAAAGTCCTGGATTCTTTCTTAGATACACAGAATATAACTGGATACTAACATTTATAGGTAAAGTTGATCCAGGGAATATCTGATTGCCTCTCGGGGGATCAGGAAAGAATTTTTTTCCCAGCAGGAGCAAATTGGATCATGCTTTGCTAGGTTTTTACTTTCCTCTGGATCAACTGTGGGTGTAGGATTATAACTTATAACTTTTTTTATGGTTGAACTCGATGGACTTTTGTCTGTTTTCAGCCAGACTAACTATGTAACTAACTATGTAACTATCTAAAAAAAAATTTTTTTTTCAATTTCTTAAATTAATTATGTTCATATTTAACCTCCTATTAACCCTAAATTAAGCTTAATCCATTAATACCATACTATTATTATTGTACTTTTATTATTACCTTTTATTTATTTGTTTTATTTATTTTATTATTTGTTTTGTTTGTTCTGTTTTTCCATGTCACACAAAAAAACATACAGAAAAATATTTTTTTTTTCATTTGCAATTCATTTTTCTCTGCTTTGTACCAGAAACATCATTTAAATGTAATTTTAAACTAGATAAATATTAGAATATAATTTACAGTAAAGTTTTTTTTCTTAAATCCAACACTGGTCAAATTAGAAAAAATGATTTAGTTATGGTCTGCTGGTTTGTTGGAATTCAATGTTAAGTGGACATTCCAGTTAATAATAAATTGGTTTCACATCTCATCTTAAAGTACTGACAGTAGAAAAGACTTGTAAAATTATCCTGATTGATCAAAGCATTATATCCTAAATGCTTTTGACATGCAATCTCCTCCAGCTTTACACCACGGTCCCAGTTGTATTGCCTAATGTTTGTAATTACACATGATTGATGAACTTTTTGCATTCAGGTACAAAAAAAATATACTGCAGAGCTGACTAATAAAAACTAGAGCAAGGAAAAGCAGAACTGTTACTCACCAGATTGTATTGTGATTATCAAGCATAATAGGTTGTTTTAGACCAGGGGTGGGCAAACTTTTTGACTTGAGGGCCGCAATGGGTTCATATATTGGACCCGGGGGCCGGACCAAGAGTAGATGAATGATGTGTATGTGTCATCCATAGTAAGTATAGTAATATTCCCCCATAGTAAGCATAGTAATTAATCCCCCATATAGTAATTCATCCCCCATAGTAATTCATCCCCCATAGTAATTCATCCCCCATATAGTAATTCATCCCCCATAGTAATTCATCCCCCATATAGTAATTCATCCCCCATTGTAATTCATCCCCCATAGTAATTAATCCCCCATATAGTAATTCATCCCCCATAGTAATTCATCCCCCATATAGTAATTCATCCCCCATAGTAATTCATCCCCCATATAGTAATTCATCCCCCCTATAGTAATTCATCCCCCATATTCAGTAATTCATCCCCCCTATAGTAATTCATCCCCCATATCCCCCATATAGTAGTTCATCCCCCATATAGTAATTCATCCCCCATAGTAATTTATCCCCCATAGTAATTAATCCCCCATATAGTAATTAATCCCCCATAGAAATTCATCCCCCATAGTAATTCATACCCCCTATAGTAATTCATTCCCCATATTAATTCATCCCCCATATTAAGTCCCCAAGTCCCCCCTGTGTCAATTCACTTACCTTTGCTCCGCGCGTTCCTCTCGCCGTGTTCCCGCGCCGTTCCGGTGTAGCATGAAAATCTGTCTCCTACGCGGATCTGTCCCCCTCGACGTATCTGCGCATGTGCCAGTTTCAGGCATTAGCAGCCGATCGGCGATCTCCGGCACATGCGCAGATACGTCGAGGGGGACAGATCCTCATAGGAGACAGATTTTAATGCTACACCTGTCTTCAGGGCGGACTGTGAGAGGAGCCTAGCGGGAGCCTAGCTCCGCGGGCGGATTAAAAGGTCCGCCGGGCCGGGCCGTAGTTTGCCCATTGCTGTTTTAGACCTTCTATGTCTGGCTTGCCTCAGATTTGATGGCTGACATGATTCTTTTGGTTGTATAGGAGCTCTATGAGCACATGCATAAAATTATTATGTAGCTACATTTAGAATTTGCCTACTACGGGAATTTGCCATCTGTAAATGTACATAATTGTCCAGTTTGGTCGAACTGGATTTTGCACATTAGCCAAAAAAGGGATGGGCATCTTGATATGCCCATATGCCAGCTTTAGACTTTACCTAAACAACACTGATAAAGCTATACAGGATTATTTAGCCCTTTAGCTGTCATTGGTGTATTTGTTACATTGGTTCAGTAACCCTTACTACAGCTCTGTCAGATCATGCACTGTAAACTTGCATTAATTTTGTACATTTAAATGGTGCCCAGGACTAGAAGATTGTATGTGTCAATGTGACTATTAATCACAATCATAGGAAATCTAAAATGTAAGTTGTAAGCTAATGTCACTGTTTTATAGGAGACATCTCTACCTCATTCAGAAAATGACAAACTTTTGGCCACTGTGGTGTCTTATGTTCACCTGAAGCCATTGGCACCCTTAAAAGACTTATCAGTGTGTAGCTGAGTAAATATTTAGGTTGCTGGATCCTGCAGGTCATTTGAGTAAATGCTGGTTATTTGGGGGCCATCCTGTTCAGTGGATTCCCTAAGGATGGTTAAAGCATGGCTGAGCATAAGAGATTTGCAAACTCCCATTCATAAAATTACCTTTTTTATGATTAAACCCAAAACTGTTCAGTTCTCATTCCTCAGTGGTCCCTGATGATTGCCCATGTTCAATTCCATTGCTGCCTTTTCAGCTCCCTTATAGATATAAAACTCAAAAGTAGATGAAAGTTAAAATAAAAGTATGAATGTACATACATCTACAACATGCAGTTTTGTTTTTTATATATAGAGGCATATTTTTGTATTTTTATGTACTTATAATGATTTTTTAAAATTTTCTCTTTTAATTCTTACAATAAACATTTGCAAAAGTGTAATAGGGTGCACATGTCAAAGGGAAATATGTTTTTATACATTGTCTGCTTTTGGAAAATATGCTTTGTATGGCATTTGGCAAATGTTAAAGATTAACAGATTAAGATCTAATTAGATCCTGTGGGTTTTGTGTTGTGTGATTAAATTTAGGTCTGTGTTAGTCACAAATTGCAAATGTCAGCAAATTACCCTGATCATTTAGGAAAAAATATCCCTACATTTGTACAAATTAAAATTTTTTAACTTCCATGTGCCTAGCGACACATATAAAAACAGAATATCATTAAACACTTTAATGCTTTCAATGTTAATTAAACTAACTAGCATGTCCAAAAGAAGAATATAAGAATGCTCTTGATGAAATTTTGTTCCATTTGAGTGACTGTCTATCTTTTGCAAACTGGATACATCAATGAGGCATAGTGAAGAGAGAATGTATTTACTGGATATGCAGAGTACTTAATTAAATGTTCTGCTTTTTATACACCTCTTTCAAAATTCTGCAGCAGAAGAATGAGAACAGCTTGATGTGTTTAACCCAATATTTTATTCCCTTCTTTTAACTACTGGGAAATAATATTTTTCTGATATATATGGATATATATTTGAATGTGACCCATTTTTTCAGAAGATATTGTAAGTACTGCATGAAAAAGTCAAGCATTTCATTTTTATTTAGTACCCCTTATTAAATAAACTGAAATATTAAATTGCATTTCTAGCAGCTTTTCATTTACCATTGAATATGTAACTATTTTTCCTGTGTGTGCTCATACATTTATTTTCAAAGACCCGAGAATATATGTTTACAGAAAAGTCGTAATTGACAGCAGTGAAAAAAAAAAAGCTTAGAATGCTGAAATGTTGACGTGAGCCATTCATTTAAAAACTGTCTTGTTGAAAATAATTCACCAAATGGCTCTCAGGCCTTTTCCAACATTTTCCTTGCTTACTGAATGGTACATTATGATGTTCTAATGACTTTACAAGATCAGAAAATAGATATGCCAAAATAAAGGAAAATTCACAGATAGGCACAAAATGTATTTTTTTTAATATGCAATATAAGTACATAAGTGGTCTAAGAGGTCATTACAGAAAATAACTTTAACCTTCACATACAGAAAAGCTTCTCTACAGTGAGAGCTGTGAAAATGTGGAATAGACTCCCTCAACAACTAGTTCTGGCTAGCTCAGTAGATTTAAAAAATTTTTTTTAATGCATTTCTAAATGCACAAAATATAATTGGATACTAATTTTTAGAGAGTAATAATTAGAGATGAGCGAATTATTCAAAAATTCGATTTGGCTGATTCGCCGAATTCGCGGAATAAATTCGATTCGAGGCGAATATATTCGCTGCGAATTTAACGTGTAAAAAGGGTGTTTCTAGGCTTCAGAGAGCCTTTATATTAGTGCAGAACACTGTACCTTTAATTTAAATGCCCTTGGAGTCTGCTGGGAAAGAGAAATAATACTGTCAGTCAGTATGACATGCAGATGAGTGCCGTCGATCTTAGAATCACCGCACACTTCACTCATTTGGGCAGTCACGGGGCCAAAACCAGAGTGTGGAGCCACAGTGTGGCGGTGGAGGAAGCAGCAATGGGAGGCCATACAGCACCCTATCACAAAATGGAACCCACCAGCAGTGTGAGGAGACCTGAAAGTGGCACATGGCAGAGTGTGGCGATGGAGACAGCAGCAATGGGAGGCCGTACAGGGACCCATGACACACTCTGGACCTGTCAGCAGCATGAGTAGGCGGTACAGGGGCCCATGACAGATTACGGGCCTGGCAGCAGCATGAGGAGTCGGTACGGGGGCCCATGGCAGATTACGGGCCTGGCAGCAGCAATGGGAGGCCATACAGCACCCTATGACAAAATGGAACCCACCAGCAGTGTGAGGAGACCTGAAAGTGGCACATGGCAGAGTGTGGCGATGGAGACAGCAGCAATGGGAGGCCGTACAGGGACCCATGACACACTCTGGACCTGGCAGCAGCATGAGGAGGTGGTACAGGGGCCCATGACAGATTACGGGCCTGGCAGCAGCATGAGGAGTCGGTACGGGGGCCCATGGCAGATTACGGGCTGGCAGCAGCATGAGGAGGCGGTACAGGGGCCCATGGCAGAGTGGCGGAGCGTAAGCAGCTTAAATTGAAGGCCATACAGAGGCCTATGTTAAAAAAGTCCCCCCAGCAGCAGCGTGGGGAGACGACTAATCAAGTCGTCCCCCACGCTGCAGGGGGAACGGAGCAGAAGCAGCTTATGGCCTTGAATTTAAGCCATACACAGGCCTACTCTAAAATGGGCCCCTGTACAGCCTCCTCTTGCTGCTGCCAATCCAGAGTGTGTACTCCTGTACGGCCTGCAATTGCTGCTGACTTCATCGCCAGACCCTGCCATGTCTGCCACTTTGTCTCCTTACACTGTTGGTGGGTTCCAGCCATGTGATAGGGTGCTGTATGGCCTTCCATTGCTGCTGCCTCCACCGCCACCCTGCTTATGTGCCTCTGTCGTCTGCTCACAACTGCTGACGGCTTCCGCTTTTTAACCGAGGCCTGTGTTTGGCTTCCGAATACTGCTGCATCCACCGCCACCCTGCTGAATGTGCCTCACGTTGCTCACGCTGATTTGCCGGTGACGGCTTCCGCTTTTTATGGACCTGTGTAGGCTTCAGAATAATGCTGCCTACACCGCCACCCTGCGCCATGTGCCTCTGTCGTCTGCTCACAGCTGCTGCCAGGTCCATACTGATTCAGGCAGCATATTCCTCATGAACATGGTTCAGGCCTAGGTTTGCATCAAACGGCAAATCGTTGACAAACGCAGGGACGTGAGCAGTGCGACAGAGCCACATGACACCAGGGTGGCGGGCATGCACAGACCTGTATTACTCGCTCAGCCAAACATGGCTGAACAAAACCAGTTAAAAAGCCACAAATTGCCATCACCTGCCCAGGGTCTCGTAGTAGATTGCACGGAGGAGTAGAGTTCATTGGCGCAACTGTGAGGGATTTTTAAACCTAGGCCTGTGTATGGCCTTCAATTGAAGCTGCTTCTGCTCAGCCACTCTGCCATTGGAACTCACCGTCGACAGTGTAAGGAGACCTGAAAGTGGCACATGGCAGAGTCTGGCGATGAAGTCAGCAGCAATGGGAGGCCGTACAGGGACCCATGACACACTCTGGACCTGGCAGCAGCAAGAGGAGGCGGTACAGGGGCCCATGGCAGAGTGGTGAAGCGTAAGCAGCTTAAATTGAAGGCCATACAGAGGCCTATGTTAAAAATAATAACATGTTTGGGGCATGATTCATGGCGGATTTAGTCAGTTGTGTCAGGAACTGGTGGTTTGAAATCCAGACTAATCGACGCCTGATTCATTTTCACAAACGTGAGTCTCTCCACACTTTGGGTGGACAGTCGTGTCCTCCGCGGAGTTACAATACCTCCTGCCGCACTAAACACGCGCTCCCGATGCCACGCTACTGGCCAGGCATGACAGCCTTTCAAGGGCAAATTCAGCTAGTTGGGGCCAAAGGTCAAGTTTCGTTGCCCAGTAGTCAAGGGGATTGTCTACCTCGGTTGGCAGGGTGCTGTCCAAGTAGGCCCGAGCTTGTTGTTTGAGGTCCTGCTCCAGGTCCACCTGATGCTGCTGCTGCTGCTGCTGCTGGGGTTAGGTAGTAGTTTCCTCACTGCGCTGGTGAAGAAAGCTACTCATCATCGACTGCAGACTGAGGCAGCCGCTGCTGGTGGAGCTGCCACTGCTCCTACCACCCCACCCCTCCCCTGCTGCCATGGCAGCGGAACGCGAGCGCACAGGGCCCACAGTGTCTGAGGATGGACGTTGGTGCAGAAAGGCAGAGACCAACTGACTACATAGGTGGTTTTTATAGTACTTTATTTTGGCCTCCCTCTCAGCAGGTGTGTGAAAAAGGCCACCATTTTTGAACGGTAGCGAGGGTCCAACAAGGTGGACAGCCAGAAGTCATCCCTCTGTCTGATGGTTATTATTCGGCTGTCGCTATGCAAGCAACCGAGCATGCTATGGGCCATTTGTGCCAAGGAATGCGAGGGACTCCCTGCCTCCATCTCCACAGCATACTGCCACGGTGCGTCTGGGTCCTCTGTCTCCTCCTCCTCCTCCTCTACCAGATGCTCCTGCTCCTCCACTCCTGTCCGCTGAGTGGAAAAACCACCCATTTCACTCAATAATTCCTGAGCACCAATGTCCTCCTCTACCTCCTCCTCTTCTTCCTGTCCTGCCCCCACAGGGGTCATGTGGCGTTGAGATCTGTGCGCCACGTCTACCGCACCCTGACCAGCCATTGTTAACAGCATTTGTTCCAGGACGTGCAACAGAGGAATGACGTCGTTCATCCCATAGTCCTGCCGACTCACGAATAGCGTGGCCTCCTCAAAGGGCCTGAGCAAGCGGCAGGTGTCACGCATGAGCTGCAATGGCTGACATCTAAGTTACACAGGGGAGTACCTTTATCTGCTTGTAACATCAGGAAATCGGTGATGGCCTTTCGCTGTTCGTAAAGGCGGTCTAACATATGTAGGGTTGAATTCCACCTTGTTGCAACGTCGCAGATCAGGCGATGCTGTGGAATTCCGTTCTGCCGCTGCAGCTCAAGGAGGGTGTGCTTTGCGGTGTAGGAATGGCTGAAATGCATGCAAAGTTTACGTGACATTTTAAGGATGTCTTGCAGTGGGATGGTGGATTTTAGGAACCGCTTGACAACCAGATTGAACACGTGAGCCATGCATGGCGCATGGCACAACCTTCCTTGACGCAGAGCAGACACCATGTTCTTTCCGTTGTCGGTCAACATGGTTCCGATTTTCAGTTTGCGCGGAGACAGCCATCTGTCGATTTCTCTGTTCATTACACTCAGAAGTTCCTCCCCTGTGTGACTACGTTCGCCAAGGCATACCAGGTGCAGCACAGCGTGACACCGTTGCGCCCTGCACATGTGATATGCCGGTCGGGTAATGGGACTTGGCACGGGGGTGGCGGCTGAGGACACGGCGGAAGAAGAGGTGGTAGAGGCGGACATCTTTGCTGGACCAAGGACGTGCAAACGTGGAGGCAAAAGCGGCGTGACCTGTCCAAGTTGCTGGTGCGGCTGTGCCGGCACCACGTTCACCCAGTGGGCCGTAAATGACATGTACTGTCCCTGACCGTAGTTACAGCTCCACACGTCGGCGCTGCCGTGCACTTTGGCAGAGACCGACATGCTCAAAGACTGGCCCACCATCTCTTCTACATGTGAATGCAGGGCTGGCACTGCCTTTTTGGCGAAGAAATGCCGGCTTGGCACTCTCCACCGCGGCTCGGCACAAGCCATCATTTCTCGGAAAGGTGCTGAGTCCACCACTTGGAAAGGGAGGGACTGCAGCACCAGCAACTTGGACAGGAGGACGTTCAGCTTCTGCACCGTCGGGTGCGTGCTCGCAAACTGTTGTCTCTTGGAAACGGATTCCAAGAAAGACTGCTGACGGAATCCGTGAAGAGGAGTAGCAGGAGAAGGAGCATCCGAACGAGCGGAGATGCCAACGAGCGACAACTCCCCTCAGCAGAGGTGTTGGAGCCTTGACTGGCTGATAGAGGGCGATTGACGTCGGGTGACGGAGCAAGTAACGGAGCGGGTGATGGAGCGGGGGCTGGGGCAGGCAGAACCGCCGTATCTTTATCACGGTTTTTTCCCAGGCCACCGAATGGCGACGCTGCATATGCTGACGCAACGCTGTAGTTCCAACATGGGCCCCCTGGCCACGCTTGACTTTCTGGCCACATAGTCGACATACGGCTACGTTTACTTCCTCGGGCGGCTTGACGAAAAATTGCCACACCGCCGAGTAGGACACTTTGCCCCCGCTACTCCTCACTGGCTGACTGCTACTTCCTCCGTGCACACCGGCACCACTACTGGCCGTGGTGGTAGGCTGCAGTGGAGCTGGTGCTCTACTCCGTGGCCGTTTGCCTCCACTGACACTGCTGCGACCCTGCTGCCTCCTGGGCAACCCACCGACTGTTTTGCTCGCTGCCAAGCTGGCACCCTCTTCTCCTGATGATGCGGAAGCAATAGCCTGATGACGACGAGGCTGCCAAGTGCGATCAGCCTCATCATCATCAATTAGGGTCTCCGCGTCACTACTAGCCCCCTCGGCTGCGTGTGGGTCAGGAGACAGACCTGTCTCTAGACCGGCTACCGAGCCACTCTCCTCGCCAGTACTTCTTCGCCTGGCTGCTGAAGAGGCGGATGTCTCCCCCCGTTCCTGACCGCCCTCTGTTAGCTCTTCCTCACTGTACAGTGGGGCTGAGCCCACAGCATGCGATACTTCGCTTGGTGAGGGAACACCAAAGGACAGGGGCAGGTAGAGGACACGTGATTTCAGTGGGCTTGCTCCCGGGCCATGCCAACTAACGGTTGTGTCTGACGTACCCACCGACCGTTGGCTGTAGGTGTCAGAGGTGACCTGGGAAGAGGAAGACGACCGAGTCAACCAATCGATGACGGCAGGGTTGTCGGTGGAGACACAACCGCTGGATGACACCGGGAGCACTGGCCTCTGGCTGCGACTAGTGCTGCCTCGACCCCTTCCTCTGCTGCCACGTCTGCTCGCTCCTGAAACACTGCCTCCTCTGCCACTCCTCTGCGTGTTGTCTGACATACTCTTTAATTCAATAGTGGTTGTGAAGCAGAAAGTAACGATTCTGTGTCCCTGAGTAACAATTCTGTGTCCCCGAGTAACGATTCTGTGTCCCTGGTTAACAATTCTGTGTCCCCAAGTAACGATTCTGTGTGTCCCTGAGTAACAATTCTGTGTCCCTGAGTAACGATTCTGTGTCCCTGAGTAACGATTCTGTGTCCTGAGTAACGATTCTGTGTCCCTGAGTAACGATTCTGTGTCCCTGAGTAACGATTCTGTGTCCCTGAGTAACGATTCTGTGTCCCTGAGTAACGATTCTGTGTCCCTGAGTAACGATTCTGTGTCCCTGAGTAGTAACAATTCTGTGTCCCTGAGTAACAATTCTGTGTCCCTGAGTAACGATTTGTGTCCCTGAGTAACAATTCTGTGTCCCTGAGTAACAATTCTGTGTCCCTGAGTAACGATTCTGTGTCCCTGAGTAACGATTCTGTGTCCCTGAGTAACGATTCTGTGTCCCTGAGTAACAATTCTGTGTCCCTGAGTAACAATTCTGTGTCTGTCCCTGAGTAACGATTCTGTGTCCCGAGTAACAATTCTGTGTCTCTGAGTAACGATTCTGTGTCCCTGAGTAACGATTCTGTGGCCCTAAAGTCTCTGTGGCCCTAACTCTGTCCCTAATACAGACAGGTCTGTCTCTCTTGAATGACCGGAGGCTAATGGAGAATTCTAAGATGGCCACAATTTATAGCTCCACCATTACACAGTGCTGGCTGGCTGGCTGCTGATTGGCTAATGCGATCACATGTCATGAATGAATGCATTATGGGTCAGCGCGCCTTGTCTGCGCGCCTTCCCAGAGATCCCCGCTCCGTCGCCACACATGTCGCCGCCATTTTTGGGAAAATTCGATTCGTGCATCCGAAGTTTGCTAATTTTCGGATTCGGCGCGAATCGAATTTTTCCTGATCTTCGAAACGAATTCCACTTCGCCATGTTCGATTCGCTCATCTCTAGTAATAATGTCAGGTCTGGTTGGTCCAGGGAGTATCTGATTGCATCCTGGGGGATCAGGAAGGAATTTATTTCCCCACTAGAGCAAATTAGACCATGCTTTATTGGGTTTTCTTTGCCTTCCTCTGGATCACCTGTGGGTAGAGGTGACTCACAGGCCAGATTAATTTATTAATCTCAGTTTGAATCTTATCTTAAAGGATTTCGTAACCGAGATAGGAAGTGCCAACAATAAGTATAACATTTTAGGTAGTACATTCATTTTTATTGCAACTACTTTACCTAGAAAATATATTTTTTACAGTAAGTGGACCACAGCCAGGGGTGGACTGACCAATTGGAAACTTGGGCACTGCCCAAGGGCCAGGGGTCAGTAGGGGGCCCCATGAGATGCCCCTGGTACCTTTTTCATAGGCTTTTTTGAGTTTGGGCAAGGACACAGGGGCCCCATGATCCCCTATTGCCCGGAGGCCCCATTAGTTGTCAGTCCACCCCTGACCACAGCTTTTCCATACTATGAATTTTGCATGGGCTA